TGCATTGATACATGTCCCCCAGGGCAGCACCCGAATACTCTTTTTATGGCCAATAACTTGCATATAAGGCTTCAAAATGGGGACATTTGATTTTCAGAGTTCTGGACCCATAGACTTGCAGTGAGTTCAAACTTTTTTTGAGTCCTTAAACCGAACTCGGGTGTGTTCGACCCAACGCTAACATCGATTGTGCGTCCAGAAAGAGTGATTGATGCCTAACCACATGCAATCACATCATATATGGTAGGTTTTTATGGCAAAAGAGACTCTATATGTATGTAAATACCTTTCTCTCCCTGCTAACAATTTTCTAGCAATTGTACACTGACTGCCAGACAAGAGCGTGTAAGAGTCGAGTTCCAGGACAAAGTGCATGTGGCCAATAGAAAAAAGAAGACTCTGGATGCAGACTGCGTTCTTTTGGGAATTCCATTCGTAGGCTATACGAGGGTTTACGCAAGTACCGTGTACCAATGTACAGCCATTCATGTATGGGCCTCCCGGACACAAACATTTTTTACGTTCTATGCTTTCATCTTGTGTTTACAGGTGAAAGCAATTCCTATTTAAATCCGTCTCGAACAGACATAACCTTAATCATCTCATAATAAGGAATGCATAATGCAATTTCATATGAAGAGAATATGTGTAGGATTATTTGCCCTGAAACAAAACTCCAGTCAATATCTAAAATATATAGTGGATCTTTATACACGTCCATCGTTTTACCTGCCAAAGGATTTGTAATTCAGTAATACAAAATCTTCAGATCTGCATTTTTTTTTACAATGCAGTCAGGCACACAGTTTCAGATTAAAGGGCACCTGTTCACAGACAATTTACATAAAAGTAGTTTTTTTTTCTCTTGTTAATCCCTGTCAATCTCTGCACTGGCTTTCAATCGCCCAAAGGATAACATTCTAAATATTAACAACCTCTTACAAAGCCATTCACAACTCAGCCCCCGGCTACATCTCAAACCTTGTATCCAAGTATCGCCTTAACCGCCCCATATGCTCCTCCCATGCTCACCTCCAGGTCTTCTCTAGAGTCTCCCCCATTCTGTGGAACTCTTTACCCCAACCTGTCCATTTATCGCCCACACTGACTGCCTTTAGGCGATCACTTAAGACTCATCTCTTCAGGGAAGCCTATCCCACCTCGACCTAACTGCTCGACCATCACGTTCTCAAACAATTCATCCCCACACAGCTACCTCCTCATGTATCACTTGCCCCTCCCTTTTAGATTGTAAGCCCTCAAGGAAAGGGCCCTCCTCACCATCTTGTATTGTAATTGTAATGTCTTCCTTATATTGTAAAGCGCTGCGCAAACTGTTGGCGCTATATAAATCCTGTATCATAATAATAATAAGCAAATATTTTAATGTCCATAGTCAGGGCACAAGTGTACTTCAAAGATGAAACGGATAAAACTAGAAATCCTGCAATATCCTAAAAGAAACGGGGGCTTGGCACTTCCAAATCCATGCATAATGTTTTTGGCCACACAGTTTAGACACCTGGCGGGATGGAAAAGGAGAAAAAAAAATGGTATTTTGAGAGGAAAATTAATTCTATAAGGAGAGGTTTTTTTCGGTTATTCCCCTCTGTGGGTCTGTATGTAATGTTGTTTGTTTTGTATTGCTGTTTTAATATGTAATTGTGGATGTATATGTTGTTTTATGTGTTGTACTATTAAAATAAAAAAAGTATTGAATTAAAAAAAAAAAAAAAAGATGAACTCTAGGTAGTGTAGATATAAAAGACACAGTTGTGTCTTTATTACTACATCATTAAATGTCTTTTTTGTAAGTACCTGATATTAGCCTTCTGTAGTCTAGTACAGCAGGGCTGGGGTGTGAGATGAAGAAGCAGCTCAAGGAGCCAGTTAGTTTATGTGCTAGCAAGGAACACACAGACAGAATGAGAGAGCAGAGTGAAATGTAGGTTCATCATTGCACTGCCTCTCCTTCACTGTTGTCAGGCTGGGGACACATCCATGACCACCTGGGCTCAGCGGAAGTGGCTTGAGTAATGCTGGTCATTACTCAACCCAGAAAACTAGGGACATCTAGCAGTTGAAATGTATTACATAGCCAGTTCTGGAATAAAGTGAAATATAAGAGCAAAATATTCTTATTGTATGTTGTCTTTTAATGGGCTATCGTTCTGTGTTAAAAATTGGACTACTTGGTTTAGAAATTCGGCTTCCTATGTCAACTGTCCCCTTCCACACTGGAAAGTGAAATCGGCACCATAACCTCTGCCAAATGAGTAGAGATCTGCCCCGGGAAAAAGTAATACCAAATGAGGGAAAATAAACCGTACAAATAGGTGCATTTGAACTATGTATTTAGTGGTATGTGTAGAGTGCTACTTTAACCTAAAAAGTAAATGTTACATGTAAAAGCACCAGCAATAATGTCATATCTCTGATCAATCAGTAATCATTCCCTTTTAAATCAGAAAACGTGTCATCACATACAGTATTCATATTTGTCATGTAAAAAAGGAGAAATATTTGGGTCATAGCAGCTACGGTGCATTTGACAAGAACAGCAGATTTGCTAATGTATAGTCTACCTTAGATTCATCTTGCCTGGATCTACATGACTTGGAAAGACTTCTACCTGTTTACCTGAACTACCTTGTCAGTCTAGAATTTACAGGTATGTAAAAGGACATCTACTGAAATTGCCAACTTCCTGTACAACCCAAGATAGTGAAAACATATGCATGTATTTTATCCTGTGTTGAACATAATTAGGAGGCTCTTAATAAAGAATTTTGCAAAGCTATTCCTCTAGTGGAACTGCGTGTACATTTGTTCTATGCAAGTTACCCAGCTCTTGTAAGAATGGGACAAAATTGAATGTGCTTAGTCGCTCGTTCACACCCCCGTGATTTGAAGGGCAAGTACTGGCGGTGGCAGGAGGAAGGCGTGACTGAGCTATAGTGGAAGAGAGTGGTATACACTGCAAAAAGTACTGTTACATCATTTGTTCCTTGCATTATAGAAACCAGAGTCTGAGCTGTCAGATTGGCTATTCACTGATTGTACGCGAGTAGAGACCTGCAGAACATTACATTATATGAAATGAAAGACAGAATGTAGAGCGGAACTCCAAAGGCAACCTGCTGGGGACCTGGCAGTAGCTGTCTTTGACAGTGCTTGTCCGGTTTCCAGTTCCACATCTCTTTCTTGCTGGCACAACTCTGGACAGCCCCAAAGTCGGCACAAGACCGACACCCAGGGCCGGATTCCCCACAAGGCCACCGAAGCCCGGCCCGGGGCGGCACCGCTGTGGAATCCCCCTATGTTCCGGGCGCCGGGAAGCCGCGTACGTTTACAAGTGATCTCGGCGATGTCGCCAAGATCACTTGTAATAAGTTTGCAGCCCGTCCTCGACGCCCCCCCCCCCTCCTGCACCTACCTCTCTCCTCGCTTGCATCGTCCGCCGGGCTCCGTCCTCCCCCAGCCGCAGAGTCTGTGCTCAGAGTAGCTGCGGTGAGCAGAGAGGCAGGGTTAAAAGTACCCCTGCCGCTCCGTGTAGTGAGAGGGGAGAACAGTCTTCCCCTCTCTGCTGTCACAGGAGTTCTAGCACAGTGCTAGAACTCCTGTCCTGGAGGTGATGGGTTCCTTAAAGAGAACCTGTCACCTTCAATTGCTATCACACAGGAGATTGTTATCCCCTGTGTGATAGCAATAAAGTTAAGCGGGGAAAAAAAATTGATAAAAAAATAAAAATTTAATAAGAATTAAATTAAAAAAAATAAACAGGTGATTAAAAAGGAAAAATAAGAAACAAATCTAAAAAAATAAGAAAATTATAAAAAAAACAATAAGATGAAAAAATAAAAGTAAATAAGATAAATAAAAATGTAAAAAAAAAAAAAAAAAAGTGATAAAGTAAAAAGAAACAATCAAAAAAAAATTAAAACTAACCATGCTGCCCTGCCATCCTCCATTGATGGGGTGCATTGCGGAACCTGGCCTTGGGGCGGCAGGGAGAATAAATCCGGCCCTGCCAACACCCGCCCAGTTCTGCACACTACCCAGAGTTTCAGCCCAGCACCTGGACGCAGAGCCCTGGTGGGATCCATATGCAGCTCTGGTGGGAAACTGCCCTAAAATCTTTAGTCTGTATTGTTTTAGAAAAAATATCACATGTCCCTTTAAGAAAAAGTATTGATAATTGGTATCGGCAAGTACTTGGTCTTGAAAAAATGGTATCGTGACATCCCGCAGGCTGAGTGATAAAAATAGAACAGATTATCCATCAATGCTTACAAATCTCTGCCACTTACTTTGTATTCTCCAAGCAGCCACTGGCCACTGTCAGAATACCGGAACTGTCCGTTCGAAGATTTTCCGACCGGCTCCATCGATCAGCTGATCGAGGGGTGGCGGCCGAAAGCAGCACCCACTGTGTGAATTTCATGCAGTATGGCTAGCTTAAATGTGTTCAGCACAGGAGAAAATACATGCAACATTTGTCAATAGTTTGGGTTGTGTTGGCAATGTCAGTAGACGGTGTCCTTTACTTGCTTAACTGTGAATTCATACACTTTTAGACTGACAAAGTGTTTTAAGTAAACATATCCTACTTGATAGAATATATAATGCAAGTGTTCAGTCTATTATATACCCCAACATATTTTATTGCTATTAAATTAGGTAACACATCTGATGTGAGTGCATGTTCATGAAGCCAGTGGACAAGTCATACATATAGCAGTAAGCAAGCCATGAGCCAAAGTGGAGGAATATTTGTTTTTCTTTTATTTAAAGCAAAACATGAAAAATACCAGACATTCAAAATCAGTAGCTGCAGGATCCGCATACGCCGGAATCCCAGTGGCTCACATCCCTAAACACAACAGGGAGCCAAGCACTGAGAGTCTCTCAAGAGAATAAATGTAGGTGGTACATGTATATGGCAAGTGCAATTGATCCAAAAATCTCAATCTGGTGGAGAAGCAGCAGTCAGGTTGCTCTCTGGGAACCGTAGTTCTTTGCTCCCACTAAACATTTGTCTTCCAGTGAACTGATTTGCCGTGGCCATTTCCTCCAAAGCAGTGCAAACCTGAGTCAGGTAGCAATCCCAAATCATCAATATCCCCCAGTCAAGTTAAAAAGCAGATAAAATTAACCCAGAGACCAATTCACCATAAATCAATCAGAGGCAATAACAAAAGGACTTTACTGCACTGGTGGTGCTTTCCCTGATCAAATGAAGCAGAAAGGGGGAAGATCAAGCTTATTTCAGTGACTTTTGTAATCTGTTCATGGCCAGTAAAAAATAGGTAACAAAAACAAAATATCAGAATACTTTCATTGAATGGTAAACAACAAAAATCTCATTTTATACTTTAAAAAAGGTTCCAAAATTCTGTCATTGCTTGGGACAAAATGTGACTAAATTTCCAAGCAGAGTGTCCTGGTCCCACATGCTAGAGTCACCTTGTAACAGTTCCATCCAGCAGTTTGTAGAGGTGGAAGATTCAAAGCTGGAGGTGGTGGGTCCATAATTTCTGGCACAACAAACCCTGCTTTCTTCATGTAGCTTACACCAGTTTCTTTGCTTCAAAGAAACTTTTAAGATGCCTCATCTGCCAAATTCCAATAGTCACAAGTATCAGAGTCTGGGCAATGGACCACCACAAAACACGTTGGTTGGTGCTTTCACTGGTCTGACGGAACCTTTCCTCCCGCCACTAAATGAGAAAAATAGAAAGTTAGTAACATTGACGCCTTGGTTTATTTACAAATAACAGAACTCATTTAGGGAAATGCTCATGCTCTCTGTAAACGGATTACAGGACATGTTTAGCTCTGTGTTTTTCAGTGTAAATGGTAACTCCTTCAGTATTTTAACAATAAAAAAATGCAAAGCAATACTCAACAACTTCTCATGATCCAGCACTGCCCTTCTCCATGGTCCAGTACCAGTCTTTGGGATTAAATTGGGCATTAAAGAAGTTGTATTGTGTCCATCGCGCACCCTACATGCTTGCCCACTGTTCATGCAGGGTTCTGTAGGGCCTTAGTTCTCAACTGTTGGGTCGCCGCATGTCTTCCGCTTTTCTAGACGAGAGGCTTGTCTGCTTCCCCCCAGCGGAGCACTGTCAGTTATCATGTCAAGCAGCCATTCAAAATATGCTGCCCAGCACCGAGTGTCAGATTCAGGTGGGCTGGGGCTATGGCCGCGAGGGAGCTCCATACATACGTGCATTGCTTACAGCTCCCTTGCGTGTCCTGTAGAGATGCCTGGACCGGAGTTACATCACAATCTGGCTCTCGGCACCTCTACAGGGCACGCAAGGGAGCTGTACAAACAATGCACATATGGATGGAACTCAGTCACAGTTCAGCAGCCCACACTGGATCCCAAGCTGAGAATCCACTCCAGTTCTCATAAGGTAGGGAGACTGGGTGGACCTAAAAAAAAAAAAAAATGTAATGTTTTTTGGAGTGTGTATGAGATTCTGTCTGTGGTTGTGTATGTCTGTCAGTGTTTTTGAGGGCCTGTTCACACTAGTACAGTGTGTTAATTGCATAATACCGTGCAATTAACGCACTGTACCATGCAATCGCAACTACCGTGAATTCTGGTGTGGGAGGTGTGTTGGGTTGCCGTTCAATGCCCCAAATGCACCTCCCACCCTCGTGTGCCCGCAGTGGAACGCGTGGTACCCTAATTTTGTGCATTCCATTGCAGTGAGACTGGGGTCACGACCTAATGACCAAGGACAAATGTGGGTCCTGAGGTTACACAGGTTGAGAACCACTGCTGTAGGGGACTGGTGGATGGCACCACAACCATAGTAAGATACAGATATATAACCAGCACACATTAACACAAGGATAATTTGGTCTTTGATTTGCATAAAGCAACAGGCATCACAATCCGACAAAGCGTCATTAGGATAAATTGAGATCTGGTAAGGCCTTCTGGTTTTAAATGAAAGAACTCCAGCTTGTAGACAATGTAACCCCTGCACTGCAAAGGTTAACTGCTCATTTGTCTCTAGGGGTGATAAAGAAATACTCACCCAATCCCCTGTCCCGCTTGGATGGTAGACCAGTCCCCGCAGACTCTTCTCCTCCAGGCTCTGGCGGTCTAAGGACCTGCAACGTCATCACTTCTTATACAAAAGTGTGTTAGATGTGAAGACGCTGAAGGACAATCCACTGCCAGAGTGGAGGGGGCAGAGAAGCGAGCAGTCACTGCCGCAGGATTGAGGATCAAGTGAGTATTTCTTCTTTACGATCGCCCCTAGAGAAAAATGAGCAGTGTGGGGGTAGCCCCACTGCAAGGGTTAATTTTTCTACAGTCTGGGAGTTTCTTTAAACAGCTCACAAGAATTAATTGGTAAGGAGACACCACTGACTTTTTAATGCTATTGCGATCTCCTCATCTGGAAACCTAAGTGCAAGTTATCTTTTTCTTTTATTCTTTTGGATAATCCCTGTGCAAGTAAGGTTCCCATCTTGCTGTTGAAGAGAGGTATTTACCATCTGTGTTACCACAAAAAAATCATCTGGAGAGGTCAAGCTTGTTATATTAAGAAAACAAAGTTACGCAAGCTAAATAAGCAAAAAAACAAACAAAAAAAGTGTGGTTATTTTCTTACTCTTTGGTAATTCTGCTCCTTCTGAATCTGTTCCACTTGCTCTATCAGTTGTCGCACACGTAGCTGTAGCTCGCTTAGTTTGTCTTTGGCAGCAATCTGGGCATAATCATTGGTATGTTCCCCAACCTGGATGTCAAGGTGAACCCTCTGCAGAGAAAAACACACATTTCAGAAGTGTTGAAACATGCCATATGGGCAAAAGGTGGTTTCAAGGGCACAAAGTAAACAAGTACAGTCAAGAAGCACTGGCTAGCAGTCAAGCGCAATGAACAAATTCATATGCTGTTCACAGTCACGTCTAAACATTTTAAATCCAAAATAAATACTTAAGCAAATGAAAAAGTAACAGGGTGCTAGATTATATTGCCATGATTGCACATAGACTGGATAGCAGAAAAGTTATTAACTTGGGTTTCGGATGTCATAAAGGCGCCCATACACAGATCGAATCACAGGAAGAACAAAGACCCTGAACAAGGAGGATGAAAACCTGGTCATCATAAAACCCTTTCTCTTTGCTCCACATAGCTAGATCTTACAAAAAGATGTGTATCTAAATCAGTTACGAGATCTGCATACATGTACCTTGTGTTGTAGTATAATTATACAGGATTTATATAGCGCCAACAATTTGCGCAGCGCTTACTTTGTACTTTCAAATGTAAGAAATGCTCCCCTTGAAATACATGCCAACTGCATCACTTGTTTCCAAACTTACACCGAAGCTAGGATCCTGATCAAACACTTTCCTCGACTGCGGTCAAAGTAATAGAACTTGGTCAAGAGTGTATTTGGATAGAGAAGAAGAGGAGCACCTGGTCAGGGGATATACTGTATGCACTCCCTTTTACACTAACAGCCCCATACACAAGTGGTTTACATGACTAGTACAAATAGACTTAGGAACTATTAAATACATTTTAGTACAAAATGAATACAACACTGGATTATATGTGTAGCTCTTATATCTGTCTACAGTTACAAATAATAGATAATTTATAGGCAATGTGTGAAACCAATCAATTAATTGCTAATGCTATCTGGCAAACACTGCAATTGTGCGGAAGAGGGTTTTTTTTTCTCGTATTATACTCGAAGCAGGTTTCACACAGCTATTTCCTGAAGCCGGTACTGTGCAACTTCCTCTCCTCTTTCTGCATGCTTTATCTCCTATCGAGACTGACTGGTGGCTGTGAGAGTTCTTGGTACTGTCACTTTTCTACATCCGGCTTTCTGCATGCGAGATAAAGTAAATTACTGTGACTGTTTGGAAATACCCTTTCTGCATTACACAAAAGCAAGGAGGTCCCAACTGTTGCTGATCACATTATGAAACTACAAACCAAAAAGAGAATTCAAACCGCACTAAATAAGATTCCTTTGGTTTCAGTCCTTTTTAAGTACCCTCATTATTGTTTCAATATGAAGGGAGAGAGTTGTTGACGCCCAAACACATTGGCTGTTTTTCCTTTGTAATTGAATTAAAGACTCTTAGGATATTTTTCATCTGGTTGGGCTGGCACGCATGTTGCCTACACTCTAAACTTCTTCAGTGTACCCACCAAAGGAGACCCAATATGCTGTTGGAGCCCCTTACCAGAGCCAAACTTCCGTGGAAAACTTTGGTGCATTTGGACTTTTGAATGAGCATTAAGATCACAGTGCCTCTTAAATATTTAGATTTAATTTACAAGTTTGACTGCAGTGTAACTTTGTCTTGTTATGATCAATGGAAATGAAAGGTCTCCAGAAAAATAATGGTTAAGAACTTTTTGTTTCAGGTCAAGCTGTCTAACACAAAATAACTTACACTATATTACCAAAAGTATTGGGACGCATGCCTTTACACGCACATGAACTCTAAAGGCATCCCAGTCTTAGTCCTTTGGGTTCAATATTGAGTTGGCCCACCCTTTGCCGCTATAACAGCTTCAACTCTTCTGGGAAGGCGTCCACAAGGATTAGGAGTGTGTCTATGGGAATGTTTGACCATTCTTCCAGAAGCGCATTTGTGAGGTCAGGTACTGATGTTGGATGAGAAGGCCTGGCTCACAGTCTCCGCTCTAATTCATCCCAAAGGTGTTCTATCGGGTTGAGGTCAGGACTCTGTGCAGGCCAGTCAAGTTCTTCCACCTCAAACTCGCTCATCCATGTCTTTATGGACCTTGCTTTGTGCACTGGTGCGTGTCATGTTGCAACAGGAAGGAGCCATCCCCAAACTGTTCCCACAAAGTTGGGAGCATGAAATTGTCCAACATGTCTTGGTATGCTGATGCCTTAAGAGTTCCCTTCACTGGAACTAAGGGGCCAAGCCCAACCCCTGAAAAACAACCCCACACCATAATCTCCTCTCCACCAAACTTTACACTTGGCACAATGCAGACAGGCAAGTACCGTTCTCCTGGCAACCGCCAAACCCAAACACATCCATCAGATTGCCAGACAGAGAAGCGTGATTCATCATTTCAAAGAACACGTCTCCACTTCTCTAGAGTCCAGTGGCGGCGTGCTTTACACCACTGCATCCGACGCTTTGCATTGCACTTGGTGATGTAAGGCTTGGATGCAGCTGCTCGGCCATGGAAACCCATTCCATGAAGCTCTCTACACACTGTTGTTGTGCCAATCTGAAGGACACAAGAATTTTGGAGGTCTGTAGCTATTGACTCTGCAGACAGTTGGCTACTTCTGTGCACTTAAGCATGCGCTGACCCTGCTCTGTCATTTTACGTGGCCTACCGCTTCGTGGCTGAGTTGCTGTTGCTCCCACTTTGTTATAATACCACTAACAGTTGACTGTGGAGTATTTAGTAGCAAGGAAATTTCATGGAACACCTGAATCCAATAATTTGGAGGGGTGTCCCAATACTTTTGGTAATATAGTGTATATGCAAGCACAGAGCAGCAACAGAACCTGGGAGACAAAGTACTTTATGAAGGAAGTGACTGAGTTAGAAATTAGTCAGGTTTATATTGCTGTCTGTGACTCCTTTGGGGAGATTCAGTTTCACCTTCTAGTCTAGTGACTGCTATCACAAGGGCAGAAAGTAAAGAGAAATCTGAAATGTAGAGATCACTGGAAGTGGAATAGATGGGAAATCTCCAACAGGGATCCCTGTTGGAGACCACGGTGTTTGTACTGTTAATGTAATCAAGTAAAATATTCCGAGCAATAATGCATATACAAAAAGTTAGAGACATATAACCCTTTTGCATTATTAACAAAGTAAACCAATGTTCTATGGCTCTCATCTTTGACCAACTGGTTCTGAAAATCCCTGCAATGGTTATTGTTAGGGATGCACCAATATATCGGCCGTCAAAACATATTGACCGAAAATGGCATAATGCCGAAAGTGCCATTTTCCTGCCGATACAACCACGCATCCCAGGTTTCTTTCCTCCCCGCTGGGTGCTGCTCTGTGTCCCAGCGGGGAGAAGAGAAAGTGACAGCTGGCCGAGCGCTGCGGCCTATCACAGTCCGGCAGATCGGTGTGGGGGCGGAGACAGCGCTGTCACAGGCGGCTGGGCTTTCCTCTCTATACCGCTCGATCAGCCTCCTGTGACAGCGTGTCAGAGAGAAGAGCAAGGTACACACACTCAGCGATCAGTGATGATCAGTTTGTACATAATTCAGGATATGGTATGTTAACTATATCCTCAATTATGAATGAATGGGAGTGATCTACATCACCTCCTGTTCAGTCATAGTTGTAGTTATAGTAAACAAACAATGTTCTCATGTTATCAATGAACAGGAAAACTCAGATGATTCCTGTTCATTGATAACAGGGGATACAGAAAAAGAGATTGAGGACTTTGTGTTCTCAATCTCTTTTTCTATTTTAAAAGGGAAATATCAGGGGTCTGTTTAGACCCCTAATATTTCCCTGAAGCCCGTAAAAGTAAAGTAAAAAATACAAATATTTAATTAAAAAAATGAAATAAAAACAAAAAGTTTATAAAAAATAAAATAAATTTGAAAAATTTGAAAAAATAAAAAACATTTTCAGTATCGGTTTCGGCCTGACTTTTTTTATTTAGTTTTCGTTTTTAAAATTTCCATTTCGGTGCACCTCTAGTTATTGTGTCTATTACAGAGTTCCCAATACTTACCAGCATGCCACCGGCAAAGAGGGAGAATTTTGTAGAGTTAGAATGTAGGCATATCTGATGTTCTCCTGGTGTGTGTGATGTAAAGATGAAGCGTCCTTCTGAGCCATACTGCCGAGATAGAATGACCTAGGAAGGAAGAATTGGTGCCGAATTAAAAAAAAGGTCATTTTTATAGCTACAGTTCAAAAACAAATTTAGAATGATGTACTCACCTTATCATCCGGATCCTTCACCTCTACAAGCATGCCAAGTCCTGGTGTTGCTGGCATATACTCTTCTCTCTGTTTGTCATACAACTGGGTGCGGTAATTGCCTGCAGTGACATAAAGAGACATCTGTCTATATGTATACTTTGCAAGACAAAATCATGCGCCGGTTATTAACAGATAAGATAAGACAAAAGTGGAGAGAATGGCTATTCAAAATGTATGCATATGATCTCCAACAGATGTGTTTTCTTTTGTCTTCTGCTGAATATCAGAAGCTACCCAATGTCGCAATCTGATTGTACAAACTTCTTACAATCTCCTTTAGATCAGGAAGGCAATCTCAACACAACAGGGGTAGGCAACCTTGACAGCCCAGCTGCGCTGAAACTGCCGATACCATCATGCCCCTGGATCTGGAATTCATTCTTGTGACTGTCAGAGTCTTGCAATGCCTACCCCTGCACTACATGGTCATTGGTTAATCAAAAGGACACATTATAAAATCAGACTGCATAATGCGCAGCCAGTTCAACAAACTAACAACAAAAACTACAATTTGACAATATTCCCTGCACTTGTCCCAAGTGCAGAAGTTTTCTAATTAGGGATGCACTGAAATTTCGGCCAAAAAATTGTACTTTGGGCACAAGGCCAAAAGTACCATAACAGCCAAAAATTCAGTGCATCTCTAGACCGGTGCCCAGCACCGAGGAGAGAAGCTAAAATGCTGATCGGGGCGGTGCAGGGAGGAGACAGCTGTCACAGGAGGCTAAGCTTTCCTCCTGCACCATCAGACTAAACCGGAGCTCCTCCGAAAACCGGAAGCTCCTTCCGCCGCCACTCGGTCACCTGCAAGTAAGCATGGGAATGGGTGGGTTGCTGTGACATCATCTGAGTCTTAACATCACCTTCACAGTAAAGTCTGTCTGTAAAATCTGCCTTTTTAAGTTAAAACGGTATTAAACTCCATATGTGCTTGTTCAATTTGACCCCTTTCCCCCTACTATTGTTTTTTTCAGGGTGCAGCCTATATGTGAACTCTCTATACTTGGGGCTATACTTTGCCCCAAAGTCTCTGATCTCTAGTATCTCTACATCTAAATATATGCTACTTTTCCTTGACTGGGACTCATGTCAGAAACAAAAATGGAAACCCATCTCACAAATCCTTGTAGCAACCAGCTAAGTAATTAATCAGCAGAATTCAAAACGCATTCTTCCCTCCTTTTTATAAAAAAAAATAAACTACATTCTGGATAGTTAAATACATTTTAAAAAAACTATCATTGCTAAAATGCCATTGATCAAAGAAACCAGATGATCCTGTATTAAAAAGTGATTATTTCCAAAAACCCACTCTTCTGTGATCATTTTCTGGGTGCATTGCTGCAATTTTGGATTTAATAAAAAAACAAAAACCTTTCATTGCAAAAAGAAAACCTGAAACACTTTGAAATCCATTCCAATAAATATATTATGACGGGGTGTGTCAAACATCATGAGTAGCTCAAGTTGCACTCCTGCAGCAGACAAGTGCTCCAAGAAACATGATTTGCTCTCAACTACAACCAAGCTTTGATAGCATTACAGGCAGCATAGCCGAGGCCTCAACTTCACCTTTCATTAAAAATACTAAAATCCTATTTATTAATTTGAATATTTATATTGCGCCGACAATATACGCAGCGCTTTACATAAAGCCCATGCACATCAGTCCCTGCCCTCAATCTAAGCTAACTATGTCACATGCATATGTACATGCTAGTGCCAATTTACCTACCAGTAAGTCTCTGGAGTGTGGGAAGAACCCAGAGTACCCAGAGGAAACCCACACAAGCCCAGGGAGAACATGCAAACTCCTTGCAGATTGTGTCCTGGCCAGGATTCGAACCAGGGACCCACAGTGCTGCCAGGCAAAAGTGGTAACCACTACTCCAATCCTAATGTCCAGCATGTGAACACGTACCCTCAGCTATGTGTTCCTCCGGAATAAATGTCCAGCATCATTTAGAAGGAGAACGCCAAGAAAAACTTTTCTTAACCCTTGCAGTGGAGCTACCTGCGCACTGCAAGGGATAAGTGCTCCAAGGTAACGAACTAGGGACCCCTAGTGCTGCCAGGCAAAAGTGGTAACCACTACACCAATCCTAATGTCCAGCATGTGAACACGTACCCTCAGCTATGTGTTCCTCCGGAATAAATGTCCAGCATCATTTAGAAGGAGAACGCCAAGAAAAACTTTTCTTAACCCTTGCAGTGGAGCTACCTGCGCACTGCAAGGGATAAGTGCTCCAAGGTGCTACAACAGAAGTTATAATCAACCAATCCTTCGAGCCGCCCAGCTGTCACAGCGCTGCCTCAGTCTGTCTCCTACGTTCCAATGGTTGTATGCCCATTAGCATCCTTATGTTCAATACAGTGTATTGGATGTAATGACTTGAGGATCCTTAAGGTGCCCATACACGGTGTGAGTTTCATCTAGTTCTTGAAAAACTGGCCAACATTCACACAGTGGATGCTGCTGTTGGCACCCTTTCAGCCGGCATCCCTCAATCAGCCAAAAGGAATCTTCATACAAACAGAGCCAGCAGCCAATGAGCTGCCGACCCTGTTCGGGAATTCTGACAGCGGCTGCTGTCAGAATACAAAAGAAACAGCGGGGATTACTCAATCAACGTGCTTGTAGCGTTGATGGAGGAGTTGGCTCTATTTTTTTAAATTCACCCCTAGGGTTGAACAAAAAAAAAAAACAACGGAGAAGTGGACGGCCAGTTTTACACCGCTGCACTGGAGGGGAAGCGAGGCTGGAAGGACCAGTCGAAGAGCAAGCTGGCTCAGAGGATCAGTGGAATACAAGTTGTTATTCTAGCACCTAGATGGCACAGCAAGGGTTAAGAAATGTTTCTGCCCAGAGTTATTTAACCCCAGGCCATCATGGACATGCTTCCTGGAGTCACGCATCCCGCTGTAAAGAAGATGAAGAACCCAGCATGTCTCCAGAGTGACCTGAAGACTACAGAAAAAAGGTATGCATGTAAAAAGAAAGCAGAGAGTTACCCAAAAGGTTGGGTTGGACTTTTGAGAACAACTATACTGAGGCTGTAACTGATGACCAGAAATCTAGCCCTCATGCTGGCCCTCTGGCTTCAATACTTAAAGTAAATTTGATAAGTAAATTTAGAGTGGCTCTGCCCTTGGCCACACAGCCGCATTCTCTATTAACAGCGATCTGTGACCACAAAGACTACAAGTCCCATTTGCCACCATGGCAGGAGACAGCAGATTGCACTGACATTTGTAGTCCATTGTTTACTTCCTCCAGCCCCATTTACAGAGGGTCTGGATCTCTGTACAGACCAGGGGCTGAGCCATGCAGGAGCCCAACAATTGCATTGGTGATGCACTGATTGTGGCTGCAATGCTCTGCAGGCTTCAATGGAAAAACATAACGAATGAGCATTATTTATTATTGTTGGTTCATTTATTACATTTTGGGGTTTTTCTAAAGGTGGACTATGCTTCTAAATCTCCGAGCTGGAACAAGCATGGAGATAACATTAGAATTTCCTCCTCTGCATACTGGTGACTGAAATGATTGATGCCATGGGGCAATCACTTCCACAATGAGGAGGTCACTAATGGCAGCGTCCATATTATCTTAATCCAGCTTACATGGCCATCCTCCCTTGAATGGCAGCTGTAGGCGGAAAGTTCCTGTTCCTGTGTAACCTAAGCCCTCTCATAGACATACATTCGATCACCATTTCCCTGCAGTAGGCAACACACACTAGGAAGGAATATGGCAGATCGCAGCCCCGGGTGCCTCACCTATCACCATAGTCTCGTCTGGAATCTCTTCAATGAAACATTTCTTCTCGGTCTCCCCGATGTGGAAATACAAGGAGGACACCGGGCCCAGACAAGCGGCCAAAGACAGCAATAACCAGGCGGCAGCCATCTTCAAGCACGGAAGGAGAAGCGGCTCACCGGAAGCTGAGGTATCTTCACACCGGCTGCCACGTCCTCCTGGGTGGCCAATCACAGCCGCCGGGCCCGAGCACTCTGCAGCGGAAGGAGGAGCTTAACGCGGTGACGTCATGCAGCCGAGGAAGTGGATGTGTCAGAAGAGGACGGCATGTAGATTGTGCTCTGACTTCTCATTGTCACCTCAGTTCACTGGAGCCGTTCCAGACACAGACAATACAAGCCGAGAGCAACTTTATCATGTTCATGGCAATGGAGGCTGCTGGACAGGACTACGGTTTTTGTGACGTTACACCTGTTATGAGAGACGCATGGCGCTTAGGTTGCAGGCATCTTGTGAAAATGCTCATTGCCTGGCTGGCCCTGACTTTAGTACTAAGTCAGTGACTTAGAGCAAGCATGCATTGAGTCAAATTAGGGCTATTGATCTGCATACTTGTTTCTGGTAAGTGATGCAGAACATAATTAATAGCTCTATTCACAATAGGGTGAAGAGTTTGGAGAAGTGAACAATCTAGGCCAAAATAGCAGATTTGGAAACATTCTCCAATACAACTCACTTTCCGGTTCAGCTATGTTGTCCTAGATTGTTCACTTCTCCAAACTCTTCACCCTTTTGGGAATAACTGTTAGGCTAGGTTCACACCAGATGCAGATCGCATTGCGGCCGGAGGGCGTGGCTGCGGAGCCATTCACTTCAATGGCCCGTCACGCCCCCTCCTGCCCCAAAAGTGAGCCGGCCGCAATGCCATGCAGTGCGTTCCAGCCAGAATCGGGCCGGAACGCACTGCATCTGGTGTGAACCTAACCTGAGACATTGGGGGTGATTTACTAACCTAAACACACGCACTAAGTGCGTGTGATTTTTGCACAGCAAAACGTATTTATCAACCAAAAAGTCTCACTAATGCCATATATGGAAAAATCGTGCACATGATGCATATATAATGCTGCTTCACAGTTTAGACAAAAATGGTTAGCTCATACATTTACATTCCTGCATTCATCAACGCAAGCAACACAATGTAGAGCTAATTTACACAACATCACCTTGCAATTCATGCAGGGCTTTGCACAACCACCTGCTGGGTGTGTACACACTACAAAGGTGTTTAGATTCCACCCATAGATCATGCTGGGAGGGAACACACTACAGAGGTGTATACATGTTCGTGGCGTGTTTATAAGGTTAGTAAATCAACCCCATTATGTCACATGTTAACATATGTTGCGTTGAAGGCTAATCAAACATTCATGTTATACCCAAATTTAAGGTGTGACTTGAAACAGTCACACCCACGGCCCTGCCCCTTTACTGAATCACTGGGTACTCCCTGCAGCATCTTTGTTTTTTGGGGGTCCCAGGCACATCATTTATTCACAGAACAAGTCAGAAATATATATATATATATAAAAATATAAGACTACAACTGCCACCACCGCAGAGGGACACCTAGAACTCAATGGAGCACAAGTGTGGTGATATCACCACCACTGTAGTATACGGATTACTTCCTCTCGTCTCTGTAACTGAAAGTCCGCACCTTGGTATGGAGCTGGGAGCAACAGTCTGCAGGAGCCTGTGCACTCCAATTCACTGAATGCAGTGTTCTGTAGGCTCCAATGCAAAAATAAATGCACTTTGTTTTATGTCAATTTTTTGCAAAAGGTGGAATTAGCCTTTAAGGAAGCCCGTTCGAATAAATATTTATATATTTATTTATTTTTTCTCTCTCTCTCTCTCTCTCTCTCTATAGAAATTACCTCTCTCTTCCTGTTGTGTCTGCAGGATATGAAGTGAAGGAAAATCTTCCCAACAGGACAACACAGACAGCATACAAAAAAAAAAAAAAAGGAGGGGTTTTAACCCTACTATATCAGAAAAAAAGAAGAAACCTTTTGATTGCAGGCACACTTTAAAAGGAGAACTATGAGGGGAGTGAAAATCACTCATCCTCATAGTTCGAGGCGACCTGTGACAATGACACTGTCACAGGTCGGCTCAATAGATCGGGAAATGAGCGAACACATAGCGTAGCTCACTCACTTCTCGCTCCTGTCCCTGCAGATAGCCCTGACTGTCACTCACGGCTCTGCAGGGATTCCCCCGTCCGATCCTCCAGCGCTGACTGGCGGAACAAACGGGAGAGGGGGCGGGTACAGCTGGCTCTGCCACTAGATAGGTAGAGCCAGCTGTCAGTCACGCAGCTGGGTGGATCTCAACAGTAATGTCGGGATCCGTACCGGCTGCGGCGTCACAGTATACCGCGAGCTGTAGCTCGTGGGTCACGAGAGGACGCTAGTTTGTGTCCTCCCATTACCCTTAGGAGAACTATGGGGAAAAGACTTAACCCCATAGTTCTCCTTTAATGTGTATGTAACCTGTATTGTAACAATGAACTTCTCATATTTGCTTCCTCTGGCTTTGTTAAACTTACCAATAAAAACGGGTTTTGTTACATCTCTTAGAGGAGTGCAAAAATAGCTATTGATTCTCGAAGTGTACAATCAGTCCTACCAGTTCCTATTTTGGGACTACAGAATGTTGTCGGGAATAGGATAGGGCATATAGGATATATGCACACCTAAATGGACAAGGGAAAGCATTTAAAAAAAGACATAATGACTAAGGCTGCATTCACACGTTGGTGTGCATGTTTTACATGCCTTATCATAGATATGAACACATACTGTAGTACATACAGAGTATACTTCAATGCATGTAATAAAGATCACAAATGTGTTGCCTTTGTAATAGCAAAAAAATAGATACCTTTTAGATCCAATGGACTGCCTGTAACAAGAATAAGAGAAAGGGATCAAAAAAGTCTGTTATTTCTAAGCCTATTGGTGTATTTCCACATATTCTATAGCATGTGTATGTGGGCTCCAGGATGTAAACCTATTGTCAAATTTGGAATCAAGACCAGATTAATGAAACTGAACGCATGGAGGACTTGATATTATCAAGCAGGGGTACTCATGACAAGTTGTGGAGAGCTTGTTTTTTTTGGGGGGGGAAATAATTTAAGACCTCCTTGGAGTGTAGTGCTCTCCTGCTCATGAATTTGCAATGGTGTTCATGGATTCTTCAAGCCTGTATAGACGGGTGGCTCTCCTACCACCTTTGCTATTTCTCTGCCCCCCCCAGTGTTATATGTTAACCGTTCATACATTAGGAGGTTATAAGTGACATAGTTACATGGAGAGGGAGACTTACACTGCCCATTCCTAAGTTAAAGCAGGCCATAACATTTAAGCTAATTAGGCCATACATGCCTCGGTCAAGTAGGAATATAAGGCTTCTGTGACTAGTATCATCTAACTTTGTAGAAAAGTTCATGCTGATCCATCCTAAAACCAATTACCATTAGTAGTACACTTTGAAACAAGGGCATGTTGGCTTTACCACACATTTACTCTTTAGGATTAGCAGACAGCCTAAGATTTTGGAAGAGCCCAGGCCTGTCACCAGCAGAGCCAACATCCACGTTTCACATAAAACCTAACCCTTGAGGTAACCACCCAAAATGCAACAGTGCCTGCCAAGGATGAAAAATACAGCCAACTGTGCTAGGACACCTGAAAGCTCACCACCAAGGCTCCAGGTCACAGACAGACCCCAGAGAAAACAAAAAGAAATGTACAGCAGGACATACAAGCTTACCTGCATTTTGCTGGTGCCACAGACACCGGTCACAACTGGAGATGCTGTTTGCCCCTGAATTATTCATAGCAGGGGATACAGCAGAGCAAAGCTCCCAAAATGGCCTTCACCATTCCTAGAAGGCTTGGCTGGAAGAGACATCAGTAGGCCTCACCCTCCTCCCCCTGCACCAAGAACTGCAGGCAACATTACCACACTCGGAATTGGTACCCGGCACCACTGGTCAAGTGAACTCAGCCTTGCACATACCCAGCAGGGACATTCTCTTAGTGTTGCCCGAAGGAAACCACACCAACCCAGGCCGCTTCACAAAATGGAAAAAAGTTGCTTTCCAGTACCAGATTTCCCCAGGCTCTGAAAAAGCCATGGGCCCAGACCTCTTCCTGCCTATAAAAAAAAGAGGGGACTGAGGGGGCAAAGATGAACAAGAGTCCCACTATCAAGAAGGGTAAAGCAAAAGGTGGAGTAGTGCAGCTGAGAATACTGAGCCAAGCCTTCTTCCACCAAGTTGGATGAAACTGACCAGTTCAGGAGGACTTCCCTTTACAGTTTTTGGTGATGCATTTCCTGTTGGAGGAGATACCTACCTCAGGCTGTCCTAGAAGATGATCTGGTAAAATACAACCCTGTCAGGCAACATATTCAGGCCCTGGGATGACCATTGCATATAGGATATACAACTTATTCCAGTATCAGCCCCCAGTCTGCTGAAGGTACTATGAAGACACAGCTGCACATTGATAAGTGATCATTGGCTCTCCCCTTCTGTAAACATGTTCTATACACTCCAGCACAGGCCAAATGGTCCTTACCGTGCAGGGGTTTATAGAACGGTGACGTAAAGATAGATTTAGATACGAACACTCACTGAATTCACTGGTGTATTTTCTTCAGTTTTAAGCACTTGCTTCTATAGTATCCAGTGGTTATTCAGGTTGGGACGTTTGCTTTTTGCTTGGTAGAAACCAGACTGCTAATCATTTTAAGATGGCCAGAAATGCAGGATGGAGTGTCATTGTGTTCAGTTTTTGCAAGACTGTGCTGTGACATCTAAAAAAATGTTATAGCAGGTGAGATGCAGAAACCCAATGCCAGAACTTCCAATGGCATGTGCAGAATTTCTGTCAGCACCTCTAATGGTGCTCGCAGAATCCCTTCCAAGAGTTTCAGATCTCCATGAAATTATGGTGGATGAGCCCCCTGATCTAAGGTGTATTTAAAAGAGAACTATGAGGTAAGTGTTTTTCCCTAGAGTTCTCTTTAGGGTCACGGGAGGACATATACTAACCTCCTCCCGTGACCCAAAGGGGAGGGGGGGGGGGAATCCCTGCGGTGACTGACTCACTGCAGGGAGACTAATCGGGAAGTGAGCGGACGACTGCATGTTTCTGCTCACTTCCGATTGATAGAGCCGACCTGTGGCTGCTTCTTTGTCACAGGTTGGCTCTATGAGGATGAGTGGAAATCACTCACCTTATAGTTCTCCTTTAATCACCAGCCACCCTACTTTGTGTCAAAAGAGGCATAATAATTCTAAATAGCTTGTGATAATATTACAATGCTGGTCCAAAGAGGTCCATATATACAGACTGGGCAAGACAACATGCTCATATGAACAGAAACTTAAAATGACACAAAATACTTTTTTTTTTCTTTAATGGGTAGCCACTCTGGACACAGCCAAATATTCTTACACTCTTACAGGAAACCCCTAGTCATTCTTGTTTAAAAATAAAAAAAAAAGCAAAAAAACAAAACAGTGGCATACGATCATTATAAGATATCTAGTGCAGGTCAAGGCAAAAATCCTCCTTTTTTGTGTGTAAACATTTGAATGTCAGTAAGAAACCAACAGTAGATCGAGCAACCAAACTCTAGATCTTCGAGACCTCATTCCATTGTTGACACTGTTCTGTGCAAGCAGCCATTTTAATCCACAGGATTGAGCTGCTTAAGGCTACATTAGATTATCAGTCAGCATTGAAGAACCAAAGATCTGGCTTCGAAGATGTAGCATCCCAAAACGTTTATGCAAAACTATACAGCCATGTCTTGACCCAAAACTCTTCCAAGCATGCTCCACTAAAGTTAGGTATTTATATTAAAAAAATAAATCAAATGAATCTGATTTATACCCAAAGAAAAGAAAATCAATTGCAAACCTCAAAAATGATTTTTTACTCCCGAACCCAATTCCTGACGGTATTCTTGTCACTGTAAATGAAAAGTACGAAAATACCACTTAAAATTATCCTCTTTTTAACCCACATAAGAAAATGCAATGTACAATCCATGTTCTGGAAAAGAAGAGTTCACATTTCATAATTTGCTCTCCCAGCATGCTTGGCTAGTAGAATCTCTTGTTTCTTTCTTGACGTTTTTGAAAGACTACGGCTCCAACTACAGCGCAGACTACAATACCCAGGAGAGCAGCGAGAAGTAGCAAGAACACTTTCCAGCCAGTTAGAGGGCCACTGCGGAAGTTGCCAGTTGGATCATCTACATTGTCTGGAAAAGATGTGTAAATGTTAAGAATGTATTCAGAGCTCTGCATAATCAAGCATGTTCTATCAACATTTCATATTGCCATGCATTTAACATGAAACCAATACATGACTTAATCTACAAATGATCAAACAATGGCAGCTTCTACATTCCCTATCAGATGCAGATCCAATCATTTGTAGAGGATCCGTAGATCTTACACCTTAAAAAAAACATGATAGCAATGGCGGATACCATATTTCCATTTTGAAAGGTGTCTTTTAAAGGAGGAGAGAAAAAAAAAAAGATTTATGCAGGTATAATATACAAGTACCTCTACCTACAACAGCCTCCTAAACCCTGCTGTTAGTGTTAGATATGAGAAGTGTGCAAGCTTGCTACTACCTCCTCGCCATGACTGTGATGGCCAGCTTTACTGGCCAATAGAAATATGCAGGAAGCAAGAATAGTTGGACAAGCTTTGGTACTATCAGGAAGTGCCAGCAATTTGCCTGTCAAATTGTCCCAACAGTCAGCCTTAACAGAAGGTTTGGGAGGCAGGTAGGTGCATTACCCTCTAGGTGTCTGCACTTTACACTTGTAGCACTTTTGTTTTCTTTCCCCATTACAAAGTCATTGTTCTGCCTCTGAATTAACCATAGAAATGAAGGTAAATATGGGCAACCTTTCACCACCACACTTGCAAATAAACAGCTCAACTGTGATGTAATCGCCATCCAGTGTACCTCTTTCTAGATATTAGTACCTAGTAAGTGTTTATAAGTTGTGTAGGTCAGAGCACCAACTGTAATAACATGAACAGCCACCTCGTGTATTTTGTAGGGCTGCAACTAACGATTATTTTTATAATCGATTAGTTGGGCGATAATTTTTTCGATTAAATGGTGGAAAGGTGAAAAAAGGGGTCTAATTGAGCCCCTAATGTCACCTCTAATGTGCTATCACATAGGGGGCTTGTGAGCCCCACCATGTGATTGCAATGGGAAGAAAAAAAAAGTGTAAAAATAAATAAAAATACCCCACAAAAAATGTAAAGTTCCCCAACCCCACGAACATACTAACAGAAACACAAGTCGGGTGCACCCACATACAAAACGACGATTGCACTACACATGAAATAATTCTCAGGCCAATATTCATCGCTAATGCTAAACTGGTGTGTGTGTGTGTGTGTGTGTGTGTGTGTATATATATATATTTGCAATCTTTGACCAATTGTCCTCTTTCGTCCACTTCCAGGGAGATTAGTTACAGTGACATGGGCTGTAAACTTCTTTACAGTGTTGTGCACAATGGACACAGGAACATTAAGATCTCTGGAGATGGACTTGTAACCTTGAGATTGTCCATGCTTTTCCACAAAAACTTGGAATTCAATTATTTCTTGCAATTTGGAGAAGGTGCCAATAATTTTGTCCAGCCCATTTTTGGAGTTTTGCGTGGAATGAGTCAGATTTGACTTTTTTTTTTTTCTCCACTTTTTGTGTCATTTCAATACAAACAAAAGAAATAAACATGAGAATGCCTAAACATTTGTTATTGCAACAATGTTCTGCACGAAGTGGGGCATTATCTGACAGAAATGCAGCGGTGCCAATATTTTTGGCCATTACTGTATATATTTGTACAGGTCATCAGTTTAGAGTTAGCCATGAACATTGGGCCCGGGAATTATTGCTCTTGCTCTGGTGCACGTGGCAATACCTGACATGTGCGATGCAATCATCGTTTTCGTACGTAAGTGCACCCAACTCTATTTAACTTTATTATTTTTAAACTTCATTGCTATCACATGGGGACAATTTACAAGTGTCCCATTGCACTCCAGACCTGAATCCCTTAGTAATATACTGGAAGGGTCCTGGGTGAGAAGCGGATAGCACCACACAGATCCAAGAATAAAGAAGAAATCGCCCGCACATCAAGGTTCTATGCATCAATCTGTCCTTTTATGTCAGATATACATGGCATCACAAGCATAAGACCTTTATGCTTGTGATGCCATGTGTATCTGACGTCAATAAAAGGACAGATTGATGCATTGAACCTTGGTGTGCAGGCAACTACTTCTTTATACTCCCTCTCATGGAAGGCCGCCTCATGCAGCGGCACCCAGCCAGGAAGAGATTAGAATCAACTAATCGATAACGAGAATAGTTGACAATGGTTCTCATTATCGATCATCATACTTGTTGCAGCCCTAGTATATTGTTCTGGAGCTAGAATAGTGCAATCCTGTGGTGAACACATCAAATTACACCCAAAACTAGATTTTCAGTTCTGATGAGAAATAGTAATACATAGTCAATATTCACATTGTATGCTCACCTTTTGGAGATTTTAACAAGCTGACACTGGGCTCTATTTTAGTCCAGTCAATGTTTTCATCTTCTGGCGAGTGTTCAACCATGAGCTGGTAAACCTTCATGGAGATTATATCATGATTATCTAATAGAAAAAAAAAATGCCTTTAGTGTTCCAGAGTTAGAGTAAGCAAAGAAGCACTTTGTGTTTAGGTGCACACCATCTTACCTGATAAGTCTCCAGTTGCAGAAGTTGCTCCAAAATAGTAGCCCGTTGGCAATCTAACACCAGAAATGTCAACACAATTCTTCCATTCATTTTTACCTTCAACATCGGTCATCACCTTTATGAAATTCAGAAATATTAATATTTAAAAACACATATTTGACCATTTTTAATCAGCTTCATCAGGTTTTGGAGGATGTCTGCATCCCTTTTGGGGAGAATTTTCCACATTTACTACCCTGATGATCACAAAGGAAATTAGGGAAATCTACTAACAGTAGCTCAGACAGTAAAAAAAATAAAATTATATATATATGATAGATAGATAGATAGAGAGATCTCTATCTCTAGATAGATCTATCTATCTATCTTACAGAAGTTCCATGCTCTACTCATTGTTGGAAACAATAGAATCAGCCCAATGGCCTGTAGCGCTTTCATGTAATTGTTGTGAACTAGAAAAGTAATATAAAAATCCGGAACTAGTGATAAAATAAACCTAGACAGCCACAAACTTAATTTAATGCATATTGTTTTAAAGACTTAAGGAAGCCAATCCTATTGAAGTCTCACCGTAAGACGTCCACGGGAATAGCGTATGGCTAGAAACGTGTCGTGGTTGGCATTACGGAGATCAGCCGTGCAGCCCGACAATTCAGCTGTGCGCCCATCTTTGGTGTGATCATACTGTAAGGAGCCATTGTTCACCATAATAGAGATATAGGGAAAGACGCGCTGCAGGCAGAGACATTTGACAAAAATAAGAGCATTATTACAAAACACAAGATCATAAACCCCATGCTAGTGAGTGTAAACTAATCCAAATATTGAATGACCTAAACTAATACTAAGAAATACACATTCAGAAGAACAAAATTAACAAAGGTCACATACTTTGTGTCTTAAAGCAAACCTTAGTGGCAAAGAACAGGTTTGATTTACTCCTCTAACCCCCCAGCATATTTCCTTCACTCCCCATTGGTATGTTCAGTGCCAGGAGCTGAAGAGAATATTATACATACATTTTAGTGATAGAGTGTTGTGTCACTATACTATAAACAAGTTTAAATCACAATCTCAGATTGATATAGCAGCTTTTAAGAGTTCATACTTCGTATTGCAAATTTATACTTTTATATAATCGAGGGAATATCAGGTACTTCCAGGTAAGGAGGAGCATGTCAAGGAGGAGCAGCTAATCAGCACTGTCACACAAGTACTTAATAGCCCTGTGCTGGCTTCAGTGGCTTACCCAGGACTTTTCTTTCACTTCCAGCAATTGAAGAGCAAAGGGAAGGTAAGTATATGCGACTGTGGAGGTCAGCATTAACGTTAACCTTTTGCTTTTTCATGCAAAACACAGATTCGCTTTAAAAAAGACCTAACCTAAAACAGGAGATTTAAAGTGAACCTTTCAATTTGCCAATAAAAATAAAAAAAAGATATTCGTTTTTGAGCTAGAAGGGGTGCTGCGGATTGGACATTTAAAAAAGGTACTCATAGTGCACCCAGGATACCAATGTTTATTTATACAAAATGTTGCATCTCGCCTCAAAATTGACATTGATTAATCTGTTGCCCCTTTGACCAGTGACATCACCCAGATTCTCCACTTGGTCCTCCTTAATCAGGTATACTAATCTAGCATGGGCTAATATGCCTTACATTTTGTGGCTAACAGGCTGGACACCCCCGCTATAAAGTGTGAATAGCAGGGTCTCCAAGAACAAGCAGGACATTCATTTTGCTGCTTTGTTACGACATCAGTAAGTTACTTATAGCTTAAGTTATAATAAATAGATGTCTGCCAGGGGTCATAATTACCTTTGCAATGGAAAGGGTTACTTTAAAAATTGTTTACCCCCCGCAATGTAATTTAATGTTAATAGCACATCAGCACATGACCAATGCAGAGGTATGCTATAGATCACAAAGCCTATTGACAGGAAGGCTCATTATCTGTTCCCCAAGATTCTCTGGCACAGATTTTGCATCAATGCCTTGGCATTCAAAACCTGTGCAGGCACCTGTGGAGTGACATGCTCTTTGCAGTCTACTATTAACCCCTTCATGACAGCTAGTTTTCAGTTTTTGTTCATAAATGACTGACACACTTTTTTAATTTTTGCTGTGCAATTCTTTCATGGCAGTAATATACTTTCTTACTAAATGCACCCACACATATTATATATTGTTTTTTTAGAGGACAGATAGGGCTGTATAATTATATCAAACGTGTGTACCTAACGCCTCACTTAGTTTGAATAAAATAATTTAAAAAAAAATGAAGAAAAAATGTAAAGAAAAACACTTTCAAAAGTTTTGATTATTAATTTTAAACCTTAGAGACTGATCCTGACAGCATGTTAGAATAAGATCTCACATTGTGCCCCATGATCAGAAGAAGAAGTGATACATTTCAGGCAAAGAGATACATTGCAATATCCCTGTGCCTGAAATGTATCATAAACATCAGGCCAGTCTATGGAGCTGTCAAAAATAGCAGTGAGGTGACTCACTCTGCTACTTTCAGCTGTCAACTACGGGATTGCTATTTAGCGCTCCCGTATTTGCATGTAACGGCTTCATTCTTTCATAAATGAAAGAAAGAAGCTTTTACAAAAGCTTAACTACTTAATTAATGAATGCCTCAATACTGAGACATTCATTAATGACTGGTAACCGCTGAGAATAATCAGTTACCGGCATTACAGAGCCTTAAATAACTTGCTACGTATCGTGTACGTGGCCAGTCATATAGGCACTTCGTGGTGGGACGTACAGTGTACGTCTCCCGTCACGAAGCGGTTAACATTACAATATGGAAGGTCAAATGTCTCTAAAAAAATATTCTTAGCTGAGCATTGTCCAAGTCTTGCTGAATCAAGTGCTGACTGCAATATCCAATATTGAGTGACTGGAATGATTGAACAAAAACACCTCTTCAGTAATATTACTCACCTCCGTTGTTTCATCGTTAGGATAAGTGTCCACAAAAACTGCCAGACCATGAAATTTATCTTGGTTTCCAAACACAGGACCTTAAACAGGTTAAAAAAAGTTATTAGCGACTCTTAATTGACAACTGGTGATCAGCAAAGCAAGCAAGAGAAAAATAAATTAGGATAAAGTGAGTAATGGTCTACCTGGCTCTAGCCTATCCTTTGCATACCAAAGAGCAAAGCCATCTCCATGTAGGTTCTTCTTTCCTGACCCGTGTATTCGGAAATGGACATGTAGCTCCCAGTCCTTCAAAAAGCAAGGCTGGAACAAAAAAAGCAACACCCATACTATTACTGGGACTTTGAGATAATATATAGAGATACTTTCTATAAACACCTTAACTTACTATTCTATTCCAGATCGAACCTTGTTTACTACTTTCATCAGGAGTTAAACGGACATACTGACTTGTGAGAATTGTATTGCCCATGAAATCCCATAGTGACATTGAACTAGAGCCCACACCTAAAGAGAAAAAGAAACATGTTAAAACAGAGTCAGTGCACTACCTATATGCATGTGGGTAGAGGCAAACAAACGATGATAGAACATAGCGGAAAAAACAAAATCTATAATAGCCACAGGTAACATTTTCACTGAAAGAAGTGCATGCAATTTGGAATAAAAGACCAATAAAATCTGGAAGCACATTTGACAAACAGGGGCACAAGGCAGTGATTTGCATGACCTTTCTCAATATCTTACGGGGAAAAAAAACTTTTTTCATTAAAATTGTGATGAAAGTAGTGACCGGTTTTAAAGAAAACCTGCACTAAATATGGCACTGTTAACCTCTCTTGTGACTGGCCTGTCCCATTGATCCATTGGCTCTAATGTTTTCAAAGTCCTTAACTTTGAAAAGTACGAAGACCAGAAGTTGACTTCGCTCTCTGCATGCTTAATCCAGGCCCATGGCTCAGATAGTACTGAACCTAAAGGCAGCCAAGCAACTTGTATTTTCAGAAGTCCAGATTTGTTTGATGAAGAAAAAATATAAAAAAGGTATTTTACCTTAGATATAACTTAATGAGAAGACCGATTCATTTATACTACTGTATTTGGTAGGGATGCACCAGTGGCGATAGGAAGTATTTGGGCGAGTACTCGTACTCGCCCAAATGCTTTGATACTATTCCCGATACGGGAACTTCTGGTATCAGGAAGGCAGTCGGCGAGTCATTACACACTGCCCGGCTTCCTGATTGGCCGAGAAGCCGACTCCAGGCTCCCTCGACACTTGGTGACGAGGGAGCCTGGAGGCAGCTTCCCGCCCAATCAAGAAGCTGGGCGGCGAGTCATTACAAGCCGCCGGGCTTTCTGATTGGCCAAAAAGCCGGCTCCATTAGTTCTCGTAACCTGGTGACGAGGGAACATGGTGCCGGCTTCCAAACAGGAAGCTGGGTGGCGAGTCATTACATGCCGCCGGCTTCCTTACGGAGACTCCCAGTATTGGTATTGGCGTGTACCGAAAAAAATATATCGGTGTTCAATATCGAAAAAACGGTATCGGTGCATCCCGGCGTCTCTCCTCCCACACCACTCAGCCTCCTATCACAGTCCGGCAGAGCGGTGTGGGGACGGAGACAGCCAGCGCCGCCACCGGAGGCTAAGCTCTCGTCCTTACACCGCTCGCTCAGCCTCCTGTGACAGCGTGTCAGAGAGGAGAGCGAGTACAAACACTCAGTGATCACTGAGTGTTTGTAAATAATTGAGGACATAGTATGGTTACTATATCCTCAATTATGAATGAGTGGGAGTGATCTACATCACTTCCTGTTCAGTCATAGTTGTAGTTATAGTAAACACACTCTGTCCTCATGTTATGAATGAAAAAATATGGGGGGGTGAATCTTGATTTAGTCTGTGATTTTTCTTCCCATTCTTCCTATCTGTCCCATTATTTTATTTATATTCCATTATTATCCCTTATTAACTCCTGGGGATTCCCTTAAATATACATCTTTGTATCTCACTAAACTACCCTGTGTGTTAAGAAAAAATAAAAACAGAAAAACAAAACGTTTATAAAAATAGTTTAGTAATGTGTATTGATATTGTAGAGCATCACAGGAGTGAGCTTGGAGCGGTGACTACTTTACAGCACACACAGGGACCATGGGGAACAAAAGTAGCCCCCCTCCAGAAGGAAGGACAGTCTCAGCACCAATTTATAGATTTGAGTATCAACAGCTGAGTGATAACAAAAACAATATCTTATTTGTGTAATAGTTAAAGTGATATTAAAGGCAAAAAATGTTTTCCCTCCCCCCCCATGTAAATGTTAGCACTTACCTTAAATGATGTCTCTTATTGTGATCTTCCTCTTCTTTCCCCATGTTTTCATGTGTCCCTCCAGCGGTGTGACGTCACTCCGATCCAGCGCTGACTGCCCTGTCTCTCCGATCCAGCGGTGTCTGCAGGCGGGTGCACGCATCCATAGACTTACCTTGCGTCTCTGCTCGTCTCCCTGCCGAGAATCGGAACTGCGCATGCGCCCGCCCCAAGATCCTTTGCGGCCGTACGAGCAGTTCCTGATTCTCGGCGCGGGAGCGAGCGGCGATAACGAGGTAAGTTTAAAATGATTTTAAGCGTTTTTTGTTTTTTTTACACTTCTTGCCTATATCTACTGCATGCTAGCAGTAGATATAAGCAAAAAAAACCAGAGGGTTTAGAACCCCTTTAAGCTACTTGAATGCAATTTTAAGGCTTAGTTTCAGAGTTTAGTGTCATTTTCCCTATGACATTAAAAGGGCCAAAATCTGTGCTGATGATTCACCATCACTTGCAAAATTCCAAGCAATGCTGGGCTCCTGCAGCCATGCATGTAAACTGCATTCTCTAGCACACGTGTGATTTTCATAGCCCTCCAACTGACCAAATGATCATAGATTGTTTAAAAATCGTACAATTAACTGTTTATAACTACCAACTATATCACTCATATGAACATCATTTGTATCATTATACTACGGATGGCACACAACTAATATTCTTAGTACAGACTTGATTTGTGTGAAGAAGAATAAAATAACATAATGCACAGCCACTTCATTAATCATGCACCAAATCTACTAGGAGTGGCCCTGCTTTTCTGTTTGTTCTTCAGCAGCCTAAGCGTTCCAGCTCCTCCAGGCAGGGTGTCACACAAGAGGGCTCTACAAATGGAGATTTGCAAAACCCAAAAGCTGTGTACAAGCTAGCAAAGAAACCATAGAAACCATGCTGTAACAGATACAAAAGAAAGACCTTTAAAAGGGCAAGAGCTAGATGTCCTCACTATCTGGGGCTTAAGCTTTGTCTTTCCCTGGAGGCAAAATAATTGGCATTCTTAAACTACTAGTAATTAGTTACACAGTTTGAACCAATGAGAAAAAAAAAGGGGGAAGGACAAGGGTCCTTATGAACAGCATTCTTGCAGGCTTTTCTACTCTGCAGGCTGCTTTCTAAATATACATACACATAAAAAGCTTTAGGACTAACCACCTTTGGTTTGATACACCCAGAATGTATTCAGCCAACTTAAACCAATTGGTCTTTAAGCCCTTGCAATGAATTTAGGTAGATTGAAAACTAACTGGGAGACATTTAGTGTGCCCTTTGCACTGCATATCATAAAATAACCCCCTCACAGTGAAACTTTGCCTCCCCGCAGAAACTTCCTGTAATAAAGACTGGTCACTGCTGGTCTCGCTCCTTGTGCAGGGTGACTGGTCTTGTCTCCGCCCCCTCCTGTAGTTTTCTGCAGGCAGCCTGTAATGGGTGGCCTACCAGGGCTCTGCTCTCTGAAAAGTTATCTACAGCACAGTGATGATGTAAGTGCTATTTGTACAGGTAATACCTGGGTTTGCAAATGCATTTGGAGCCTTAAAATATTATTATAAATGTTATATTTGTTGTGGCTATTAAGAAAACCATTTACACGAGAGGTTGTGTGTCTAGCATTTAGTTTTAACATCGTACTGCTACTATAACCGATCGGGGTTCCAGCCTAACATAGTGACAGTGCTAAAACCATCTTAAAGTCCCTTGCTCCCTACAAATAGCCTCAGACTCCTGAGATCCACAGGATTATGTCCACCCCCCTATGCAAGCAACGCCAAGATGTGTCCAATGTCTGCATTCCCTTGTCTCTCACCTTGGTAAGGTTTAATGAGGGAGTGCTCCCGCTTCAGGTGCTCGCTGTTCCCATCTGTCAGGTCTCCGGCGGCCCTAAGAATAGACAGACTGAGGAGAGACTGGAGAAACAGTAAACCATGGATGTACAGAGCCGCCATCATTAGCGTCCACTAACTCTAGCCTGCTTCCTTCTACGTCACATCCGCCTCTCGCTCGCCCACACTTACAGTTCACTTTTTAGGCTGGAAAGAAACTAGAAAGAATCCCAATTGTAATTCACAGCTGATGACATTTGCAGCGTATGAAGTAACGTCCGCCTGGCACATCAGCTTCTGTTTGAATCAAAAGAATTTGGCATGTGCCGTGCTGCAAGAATTGTTGCCCATGTCAAAGATGACCGCTAGATACACTTCCACACATTTAACATCGCTACTAGTATGAAATTGCATAAGAAGGCGCTGGACTGCTCTCGCTGCTGCCTGGCGAGAGCCATTTTGTTGCAGAAATCTTCTTAGTATTCAATAAGGACTGGCCTAATCAAAAATGGCGGTAGCTGTAAATCTTACGCTACGACTGGGACCCTTTTTTGTTAAATCTTCTTCGCTCTCTTATAAATTGGACGCTTAAGCAAACAAATCAGTGATCAGTTATTGAAGTCACTTAACCAATAAGTGAGCAGCAAGTAATCACTTCTGGCCAATTGAAATGATAGCTGCTTGACGTTTAGAGTGCCGGTACAGTATGTTCCAGAAAGGGCGTGTGTGAGTACTGTAGCAGAGATAGTCTTACCTGGCCTATTCCTACTGGTGGGTGAGCAGGCTATACAGGCAGCTTATTGCTTTGAAAGTATCGGGACGTACTAAACAGCATATTGGGATGATTGGCTGCAATGCTCGGCATAATCACTAGGTGTCAGTATACTTTTTGCACCCTTACATGCAAATGAATATGTTGTAATCATGATATTTCACCCATAATCCCCATGTAGAAAAATAATTTTACCCACATTCTTATCAGAAACAGGTTAAATATGTTCCTTGACATGTGTAACCATAATATTCCACCCATAATCCACATGTAGACAGATTATAACCATATTCTTAACACAAACCTGTCAAATATGCTATTTAGCATGGGTAATCATAATATTGCACCCATAATCCCCATAAAAAAATAATTATATATATATATATATTGTACAGGACACCGCGGCTGGGTCCTGGAAGGACGCTATATTTCCCCTCTGTTTGGACTGTGGTCCCTTTAAAGGATGAGACGGGGTTAACTCACCAGGATGTCAACTGGTTAAAGGATGAGACGGAGTTAACTCACCTGCTGGAGGAAGAGTGGGTTTAAAAGACAGGAAGTGGTAGCTAGCAGGTGAGGAGTAGTGTGGAGGAGGTTGGAGAGTGGGGATCTGTGTACTGCTGTGAGCTTGAATGTCAGTAGTTCTTGCTTGAAATCTGTAGACTGGGAAAGTTACCCTGGAAGTCTGGGACTGTTTAAACTGCGATTGCAGCTCTGAAATCTTCATGTCGGTGAGACTGTTCTTTTGTGTTGTACTGAAGAGTTGCTGTTTGAGTTGGCCAGCTGGTCAGTGAAGATGACCTGTGTTGTTATGTTGCTGCTGTGAAGCTATTTCAGTTAATAAACTTTACTTTATTTGCAAAGCCTGTGTCCTGCGATCCTGCTGGATTCCCCTAACATTACAATATATATATATTTCCATGTAAGGGTGCAAAAAGTATACGGACACCTAGTGTTTGTGCTGAGCATTGCAGCCAATCATCCCATCATCCCAATATGCTGTTTAGTACGTCCCGAAGATCTCTTAGACGCCATTAACGCCTGTGCGCAAAGGGAACTCGCATATTCTTAAAATGCCCATCTTTTTTTTGCTTTCATTCACTCTTATTGGCACCTGTCAAAGCACATACAAAATGTCTATGCTTTTTGGTGTGGTGCATTTCACCACTTTGGTGTGATTGAAAGGCACATAAAACGTGCATACCTGTGCGTGTGTTGTCACACATGCATAGGTGTGAACCAGGGTTGAAGCAGAAGTAAAGTCAGTAAAATAATACACTGCAGACATGCACAGTCCCAAAAAAAAAATTATTTCTCTTTCCCCCAGCGATTTTTCCATTTTTTTTTTTTTATACATCCTGTACAGTGAATGTGCCACACAGTGTAAACATTCAGCCCATTCACAAGCATCTCTAAGGCATCGTTCACACCTAGGTGTTTTGGCACTCAAAGGTAAGACAAAACTCTCAACACAAGAAATCCCATTCATTTTAATGGCCCCTGTTCACACCTGAGCATTTTGTCGCAAGCTGTAAAACGGCAAACGCTGGAGCTTCTTTGTGGCAGATTACAGTGCGTTTGTCCCCATAGATTTCAATGGAAATGCATAACACAAGCGTTTTGCACATTTCTGATCACTCAATACACAATTAACTTAAAAAAATACAAAGTTCTATACTGCAAATAAAGAAAAGGAAGAGAGTTGTGGAAAATAAAAAAAGACTAAAGAAAGAATACTCAGCAGGACAGGAATGTGAACTTTTGTCCTGGAGATCAAACACAACAAGCTAACACTTAAACACTTTTAAGGTAGTAACATATTTCTGTTGGCTGAAGTCCCTTACTGTTTAATCTATACAATTCTATACATTTTATAGAATTGGGGATTAAAAGTACTATTTCTGTGTTTGCAGATGACACCAAGTTATGTAGTGGAATACAGTCCTTACAGGAGATCTCCATCTTACAAGCAGATCTGAATGCTCTGTGTGATTGGGCATCTATTTGGCAAATGAGGTTTAATGTTGATAAATGTAAAGTTCGGCACTTGGGGACTAAAAACCTGCATGCGTCATACACTCTGGGGGGAGTATGTTTGGGGGAGTCAATGATGGAGAAAGATCTGGGTGTTCTGGTAGATCATAGACTCAATAATAGAATGCAATGTCAAGCTACAGTTTCTAAGCAAGCAAAATACTTTCTTGTATTAAAAGGGTATAGACTCCAGAGACAGAGACATAATCCTGCCCCTGTACAAAGCATTAGTAAGACCTCATCTGGAATATGCACTTTTGGGCACTAGTTCACAAAAAGGATGTTGTGGAACTGGAGAAAGTGCAGCGAAGGGCGACTAAACTCATAAGAGGCATGGAGGAGCTCAGCTATGAGGAAAGATTAACTGACCTGAATTTGTTCTCTCTGGAAAAGAGGCGATTAAGGGGAGACATGATCACCATGTACAAATACATAAATGCTCCATATAGTGAGCTTGGTGCAAATGATTCACTTTAAGGTCACTGCAAAGGACAAGGGGGCACTTTTTGTGTCTGGAGGAAAAGAGGTTTAACCTTTGCATACGGAAAGGATTCTTCACAGTTAGAGCTGTGAAAATGTGGAACAGACTCCCCCAGGAGTACATAAGCCTCTTCTTTTGATGTTACAATAAGAGTTTCCTAGCTGCCTTCTGTGGCAGCTTTTTGTGGGCCCTCTAGGGGGTTCACTGAGCCAACCCCTAGTCCAAAGAAGAACAATCAGGTAGGAGGGCTGAGCAGTTATGATCTTCTCCTCTGCCCTTACTGATCTGTCCATTTTATGTTAATAAATATACAGTATGTCTGTATTTTCATATTTTATACCAAAGATCAGTGTGTGTTATAAAATTAGCTTCAGATAGACACTAAACTGTATCCTCTTCCACGGCAGCGATGGTATGTCTCCTGATGTTCTCAAGTCCTATGCACTGTGTATAGAACATAATGACTCAGGGATCTTTGACCGCTGCAGCAGAGGGGAAGAGAGGCTCCATGGACCAGCCCAAGAGCAAGCTGCGTTTGAGGGTCGGGTGAGTATAACCTTTTAATTTTTGAACCTAGACAAAAACAACCACCGAACCCTTGCAGTGTTCTGGTAGCCCCACAGCAAGGGATCAGAAAATGTTTACCTGGAGTTTTGCTTTAAACCAAAGGTTATACCAAGGACAACCAGAAAAAACTCAAGTATCAAAAGAAATAATCACAATGCAATACACTGTAAATAATGCAATACAAATAAAACCAAATGGGAAAAATATTGCATGATGAATATAACATTACACTCTAAGCTGCTGGTTTTATTGTAAATATGAGCTAGAATTATCCATCAATTAAGATTTTTAAGGTCATTTGAGATATTTAGTGGTGCAAGTAATGATGTTTGCCATCTCCATCACTATAGTACATGTACAATTTTAATACGTAAAAGGGCATTTCCAATTTTCAAAATGTCAAATATTTGGTATTTCCTGTTTATATTGCAAAGTGACATCTATGAGCAGGGAACTTTAGTCATACAGTAAATATGACAGCAGGATTGGGTTACTTGGTATGAAAAGCATTAAGGTAACATAACACCTAAAAGATCTACTATGCTGTGTTAACTAGTATGTTAATCCCAACACAGTTTACATTCAGTGATATTATAACTAAGCTTTGATTTTTGATATGTTGCAATATTTGATCTGTTCTGTTTTACTGCAAACTCTATTTGAACTGCTATTTAAGAGCAAATTAAAAAAAACAATCTCTGCATTGTGCTACTGTTTTGTTCTGAAACTGATACACGTTCCAAAAGAATGTGCTACTACATGTGTTGATACACCCCTTATTCTACCACTATATACCCCAAATAAGCATCTGACTGTCTCCAGCACATGTAAAGTCAGAATGTTCAAAAGGAACATTTAGCTCAGCAGAATTGGGGAGAACAGAAACGTTTCAAGCTTCAATCTTTAGGTATTGATAAAATGGTGTGTTTGTGGATAGCGAACTGGCTAATTCAATGTGTCCAGAGTATCAATAAATGGCTGCACAGGCTGCACCCTGCACTTACAGTATTTCATCAGTCTTCTGGGTTGAATGACACTGGGCATCATTCAGAGAGGACTATTTAAAAACAAATTGCCTGGAGTTGGGCATTAAAAGCTACTGGTGTAATGCATCACATGGCCGGCATCCGTTCTGATCAGTAGAGGATCTGTGCACGGATCCCCTGCTGGTCGGAGCAGAAAGGAACAGATGACACTCGTGTGACATCCATGTATGTTTAGTTTTTTCTCCATCTTGTGATGAAGAAAAAACTGAACTAACCAGACCCATGTTAGTTCTATGGGGTGTCGGAGGTAAGTGGACATGTGTCCGTTTAC